AAACCTTTCGGAACAGTTTCAAGATCACTGTCTCCTCGTACAGATAGTCCACTACTTCCAAAATGTAAGTTCTCTTCAGCCGTTGGAGCCGAAAACAATGTAAACGGCTTACCAGAATTGTTGTTAATGTAATTTGTTAGTTCAGCTTGATGAGAAAATTCGGTTGATATTTTTGGTTGACGAGCAATAATATGGTCTCCTTCTCCTTCTTGTGTATCGGCTGGAGTCATTGTGTTATAATTAATATTAACATCATCAATTTGATGTGTATCATCATTCGAAGAATCATCAGCCGATGCAGCATCTTGATTATGATGAACTTTAGCCATTGCTGATGCAATTGTAAGTTTATTCTTCTGTTTCTTTTGATCATCGATAATATTAGTTTCATATAACAACCGTAATACATCAGTTTTTATACTAGTTGGAATTAATATGCCTATTTCAGCTAATGAATCAATAAGATGTTTACGAGTCATCTTTGCAACTTGATTATTGTTTGTTATTTTTGAGGCGTTTGGTTTTGTATGCTTCTGTTTTACACCAGCATTATTAGATACTCGCTTTGAAAATTTAGATTTTTTCTTGGATTGCACAATAATGTTGGACTGTGGCATTGTAAACGGATTCAAATTGAAAAGTTAGCTTGAATAAATGTTGAAGTTTTAACAAATTAAACAGGATTATATGAATAGCTTTTCACTGAATTAGAGCACAAGAAGATGATAATGAATAACAACTTAGCTACACATGATAATGAACTTCCAGCTGAAACGAGCGCTATATATTGAATAATAGAACAGATAATTAAAACAAAAATAGCCGAGCCTACATGAATCTTCTTTAATGCCTCGTTATCTCGCCATTAAAGAGTTATTTTGAATTATTTGTTTCGATCGTCTTAACAAACGAATAATAAGTTGACTTATGAATAAAATTTTAAATTTACCAATTACTTTTAGTGTATTACGTGAACCATATTCTGAACTATGAAACAGAATAGAAGTAAATATTATCTTCGTGTTATTCGAAGAGATTGAGTCTATTTCATTTAGTTCAGAAGAAAAAATACTTTTCGACTACATTCTTAACTGATGAAGTTAATTATAAGAATAATATCCAAGAGATAAATTTACAAACTCGATTTTCTTCTTTAATATTCAAATGATAATATATCATTAATAAGATTTATTTGAGAAATAATAATTATGTGATAAATTCCATATGGAGAAAAATTCATTGAAAAAAACTACGAGACTTTCTTTCCATACATATATTTTAATGTTAAACATGGCTTAATCATTGTATAACATCGAATATTTGAATTTAGAACTTTATTATGGCTATGGAATAATCTATAGTAGAAACATTTTTTGGTCAATAATCTTCCATGTAGAGTGACGGAACATAATATATTTCTTTTGTTTCAATTTAATCACAGCAGGTAGAATAATTTTGAGTATGGTTCAGTTTATCAATCATCAGAAAGTGGAAAAAATTGCTCTTCAACTATACGTCAAACATAGTTACTGAGCTAATCAACGGAGGAAATGAGCAATATTTTTAATTTTTTTATGCCGAATCATACAATAATATCAAGAGATTCAATCCAGGGACGTAGCTAGGGAGAGGTAAATGGGCAATTGGCCATTTTATTTGGAGATTTGCCGATTGAAATTTTTATAAGTTTTTAGCCACTGAAATTTTACTTTTTGAGAATTTGAATTGAATAGTAACTGTTTTTTTCTTCTCTCTAAACCACATACAGGGATGTCCTGACCAATGAGTCACCTCCAAACAATCGAATATTCGTTTTTTTGCTCAACGATTTCGAGAAATTTTTCAAAAATTTTCGATTTTCTCTAATGTTTACCACTTCGAAAGACCTTCGATTACGCCTGTATCTTTTGCTTGTTCTTTCTGTGAAGACTTAGGAAAAGAAAGGAAGAAAACGCGTCTTATGTTTCAATTACAATTTGAATGAACGTGAGTTCGGTTTTTCGGGGAAATAGTTACCACGTAAAGGTAGTGATGGATAGATCAGAGAGAAGTTAAGTAATTATTGGTATTCCTTGTCAATATCATCAACAAAATTTATTTTGTAAAAAAATATTATTTAACAAAAAAAAAACAATTATCTATGAAATAAATAAATGAATCAATTTAATGCTTTGCTGTTACTATTGTTGTCGACGAACATTTCTAAATGAACAAGTGCTGCTGTTGTATAATCTTCATGAGGTAATATTGATTCAAATGAAGGTAAACATCAAGTAATAAATGATCCATTTATAGATATTAATGTGTAATAAATATGTACTTCAGATTCTGTTGATGTACATCAGCACATAATCTAACGAACATTTAAGGATGATTAATTTTACAAT